GATCGCTGGAGCCCAGCAGGTCGAGGCTGCGGTGGCCGGGAGTGGCCACTGCACTCCAGTCTGGGCGACAGAGTGAGACTCCAACTCAAAAAATAAATAAATAAATAAATAAATAAATAATAATAATAATAATAAAACCACCTAATTTTTAACCATTTTGGAACCCTGTCCATAATGTTAAAAAAAAAAGGAAAAAAATGTTTTCTTGCAGTTTTTTTAAAAAAGAGAAGAAAATCTTCTCTTGCAGTTTTGTCATTCATTCATTTGCTCAACCGTTCGTTTATGTTGCCAAGACATATTTACTGATCATCTATGTGAAAGCCTGTGCTAGAGTTGCATGGAATTGTCAATATTCTGTTGGTTGCACCTAGAAGGGTTTTACATTATTACATGAATTTTTTATTTTTATTTATGTATTTGTATACATTTATAGGGTACAAGTGTAATTTGGCTACATGGACAGATTGTATAATGGTGAAGTCAGGGCCGTTAGGGTCGCCATCACCTGAGTAGCGTACATGGTACGGTACCCAGCAATTTCTCACCGTCCACCCCCCTGTCACCCCTCATCCTTCCATGTGTACATTTATTTAGCCCCCACTTATAATGGAAAACGTGTGTTGTCTTTCTGTGTCTGAGCTGTTTCACTTAAGATAATGACTTCCAGTTCCATTCACATTGCTGTAAAAGTTATGATTTCATTCTTTTGTAAGACTGAATAACATTCCATTGTGTATGTGTACCATGTTTTCTTTTGTCAGTTCTCTCTTGATGGACACTTAGGTTGATTCCATATCTTTGCTATTGTGAATAGTTCTGTGATAAACATGTAAGTGCAGGCATCTTTTTTTTTTTGAGTTGGAGCTTCACTCTGTCACCAAAGCTGGAGTGCAGTAGCACACTTATGGCTACCACAGGCTAGACCTGCTGAGCTCAAGTGATCCTTCCACCTCAGCCTTGCAAGTAGCACACGCCACCATGCCCAGCTAAGTTTTTGATTTATTGTAGAGATGAGGTCTTCTTGCCAAGTTGTCCAGGCTGGTCTTAAATCTGTGGGCTCAGGCAATCCTCTCACCTCGGCATCCCAAAGTGCTGGGATTATAGGCGTGAGCCACCACACCAGGTGTAGATACCTTTTTTATATAAATATTTCTTTGGTATCTCAATTTTTAGTTCTTTGAGAAATCTCCATACTGTTTTTCTTTCTTTATTTCTTTGAGTTGGAATCTCACTCTGTCACCCAGAATGGAGTGCAGTGGCATACTCCTGGCCACTGTAGCCTCGACCTGCTGGGCTCTGGCAATCCTTCTGCCTCAACCTTCCAAGGAGCTGGAACTACAGGCGTGCACTACCACGCCCAGCTAATTTTTGATTTATTGTAGAGACGAGGTCTCTCCAAGTTGCCCGGGTGGGACTCGAACCCTCAGGCTAAGGCAATCCACTCACCTCAGCCTCCCAAAGTGCTGGGATTACAGGCTGAGCCACAGAACCCGGCCATCCATACTGTTTTTCATAGAGGTTGTACTAGTTTACATCCCTCTCAACAGTGTATAAATGTTCCCTTTTCTCTGCATTTTTGCCATCTATTTTTTGACTTTTTAATATGAGCCCTTCTGACTGGTGTAAGATGATATGTCACTGTGGTTTTAATTTGCATTTCTCTGATGATGGTTGGTGATGTTGAGTGCTTTTTCATATGTCTTAATCAGAGTTGCATCTAAAAGGGGTTTTTAAACAAAGTTCCATCCCTGAAGGGGTCAGAACTGCTCAGAAATTATAGACAAACATTTGCATAGGGGATAATTTGTTCATTGCTCCTGCAAGAAAATTCATTGCTTTTTTATGAGCTTCTCAAAGAGGCCAATGGGCCCATTCTGGGCCCTGATTAGGAAGCTTGTTCTTGCTCAATTATGCTTTAGTTTCTGTCTCACCCAGTGGCCTGAGGCTGCATGCTTGGTAGGGTTTTGAATGACAATAGTTAAAATATTGTTAGGGCAGGGCTTGGTGGCTCAGCCTGTAATCCCAGCACTTTGAGAGGCCAAGGCAAGTGGATTGCCTGAACCCGTGGGTTCGAGACAGGCCCGGGCAACTTGGCCAGACCTTGTCTCTACAATAAATCAAAAATTAGCCGGACGTGGTAGCATGCGCCTGTAGTTCCGGCTACTTGGAAGGCTGAGGTAGAAGGATCGCCGGTAGCCCAGCAGGTTGAGGCTGCAGTGACCGGGAGTGGCCACTGCAATCCAGTCTGGGCGACAGAGTGAGACTCCAACTCAAAATAAAAATAAAAATAAAAATAAAAATAAAATGTTGTTAGAAGATTTTTAGTCCTGAATATCCCAATCCCTACTGAAAAACAAGAAAACAAACACTCATGAGGACAAAGGAGAAAATTCACAAGAAACATTCCAAAAATGTGAATTGCATGGCTTGTAACTTGGAGTAGTTAAGGGGTTAAACTAACAAACAAAGAAATCCAGAATGTGTGTCAGTAGACCTGGACTTGTTTTAGCAAAGTCGCTAATATTATGGAAGCCCTGTAACATCCATGCTCTACAGTTTTCCTCCCTTGTAAAGCAAGAGTGACAAAGATGATAATGATGTTAAACATTCTCTGAACTCTTACTTTGCACCAGGCACCATTCACTTGACATTCTGAACTGTCCTGGAAGGAAGGTTTTCCATATCATTCCTGTTCAAGGAATGAGAAGAAAAGCCCCAGGAGAGGACTCCAGCTAATACAGAGGAGAGGCAGCAGGTCTAGGTCCAAATCCAGGTGTAAAAATGCCACAGCACAGGTGTTAAACAACCACTCACACTGCTTTCGGGGTCTGTTTTCTGTCCGGGCTCACTGGCCACTGCTAGTGTTATTATTACTTAAAGTAGACATTTCAACAGAAATATTTTTGAAAAAATGCCCTAGCTTTCTATCTTTCTTTCTTTCTGCTTTCAGGGCCCAGAACACCCAAATCCTGGGAAGAGTTTCAGCGCTCGCGGCTTTCCGAGACACTGTTACCTTCCAGACAGTGAGAAAGGAAGAAAAGTAAGAGTGGAGGTTTCAGCGGGAAAATACTGCTGTATTTATTTCAAAGTAATATTGAGGAATTTACTTCCAGGTTAGGGCCCAGAGTTTTGCTTCCTGCAATACACAGGCCAAGGAGAACTGGGTCTCTTTTAACTCTAGATGTGCATGGTAACAAGATCATATTTGAACCAACCATAGGTAAGAGTGGATATGATTCAATTTTTTTTTTCTGGTGGCTGGGGGCGGGCCTTTTGACTTTTTTCTTCTCTGGTATAATTTTGGCAATAATTCATCTATTTTAGGATCCTGTGTCCAGAGCCCTGCTGCTTAAAAGCTGGTCCTAGGACCAGCACCAGTGGCAACACCTAGGAACTTAATAAAAATGCAGAGGTCGAGGTATGGTGGCTCACACCAGTAATCCCAGCACTTTGGGAGGCCAAGACAGGAGGATTGCCTGAGCTCAGGGGTTCGAGACCAGCCTGGGCAACATGTGAGACCTCACCTCCACACAAAAAATTTTAAAAACTAGCTGATGCAGTGGCACGCACCTGTGGTCCCAACTACACGGGAGACTGAGGTGAAAGGATTGCCTGTGTCCAGGATGTCGAGGCTGCAATAAGCTGTGATCGTGTCATTGCACTACAGCCTGGGCGACAAGAGTAAGATCCTGACTCACAACAAATAAACAAAAAGAAATGCAAAAATTAGAACCTACTTCATTTTAATGAGGTCCTTAGCTGATCTGACAATGCATTAAGGTTTGAGAAGCACTGCTCTGGGGGCAGGGATCTTACCGTACAGGAGACGTTTTTCTTTTTGTGTACTTTTCTATTATTTGATGTTTCCCAAAAGGGCAGAGGGAACAATAATTGAATTTCTGGATGCCCTCATGATTTCTAATCAAGCTTCAGTGGCTTTATGAACTCTAAAATTAGATTTTAAAATATATTAGTTTTTCTGTGGATGAGGCCAGAAAATAATTGAATTTTCAAAATCTTTACTGATCTCTAAGGGATAAGAACCATCAATCCACTGGGCACCGTGGCTTATGCCTGTAATCTCAGCACTTTGGGAGGCAGAGGCAAGAGAATTGCCTGAGCCCAGGGGTTTGAGACTAGCCTGGACGACCTGACAAGACCTCGTCTCTACAATAAATCAAAAATATTAGCCGAATATAGTAATGCATGCTTGTGTTTCCAGTTACTTGGAAGGCTGAGGCAGAAAGATCACCTGAGCCCAGCAGGTCAAGACTACGGTGACCATGAGCGTGCCACTGCACTCCAGCCTGGGTGACAGGGTGAAACTCTGACTCAGAAAAAAAAGGGCGTCCTGAGAGAAACATCAGACAAGTCACGTGTTTTAGTCAGCTTTCTCTCCCCAATCTCAGCAGCTTGCTTCAACAAATATTTAATTTTCATGAACTTTTAATACCAGTGTCTGTGTCTGTGTTGTTGCTGTGGGTCAGCGTCTTAGTCAGTTCAGGCTGCTACAGCACAATACCATAGACTGGGTGACTTATAAGAAGTGTATTGTTCACAGTTCTGGGGCCTGAGAAATTCTGGATCAAGGCACTGGCAGATTCAGTGTCTGGCAAAGGCCCTCTCGCTAGTTCATATACAAAGCCTTCTCTCTGCGTACCCATATGGTAGAAGGGGTAAGGGATTTCTCTGAAGCCTCTGTTATAAGGGCACTAATCTTATTTGATGAGGGCTCTGCCTTGGTGACCTAATCACCTCTCCAAAGGTCCCACCTCTTCCTGCCATCACCTTAGAGTTGAAAATGTCAACATATGAATGTGGGGAGTGAACATAAACATCCAGACCACAGCAATCAGCTTCAGTCTACAACATGTGTCTTCCCATTTTGAAGCCCAGGTGGAAGGAGCAATCCTGTGGTCCATGCCCTTCCCATGGAAGCGGGCAGAGGACCAAGAGAAAGTCCAAGTGAAAGTGTATAATCCGGCCAGGCGAGGTGGCTCATGCCTATAATTCCAGCACTTTGGGAGGCCAAGGTGAGAGGATTGCCTGAGCCCACGGGTTCGAGACCAGCCTGGGCAACTTGGTGAGACCTCATCTGTATAATAAATCAAAAAATTAGCCAGGCATGGTGGCGCGTGCCTGTAGTTCCAGCTACTTGGAAGGCTAAAGTGGAAGGATCGCCTGAGCCCAGCAGCCTGGGTGACAGTGAGACTCCAATTCAAAAAAAAAGGGTGTAATCCTATTTAGAGTTCTTAGAGACTTGTGACTTCTACTCACATTTCACAGGCCCCAGCAAGTCATCAGTAAACCAGATAAGAGGTAGGCTAGTGTCCTGCCTAAAAGGAGGTGCCCCTGGTTTCTTGAGAGGAATCAGGTAGTTTGGAACAATGTGAGAATCAACCTCATCATGAAGATGTTCTCAGGCCGTGTCTCCAGACCGGTAGTTCGGATCAGCCCTGCTACCTGCTTGCCTTGAAAAACCAGATTTCAGTGCGGGAGCCCTGGGACTATATTACACTGTTCAAACTAGAATCCTGTTGCCATGAGCTGCTTTTCTCCCTCATTATGTTAATGGCATACTTAGAATCTTGGAACCCCGGACAAGACACGTTAACCTGCTTAGATTTTCGCTGTTACCCATCACGTTCAATGGACTTATCCCTCCCTGCATTCACTGTCTTCCAAACCACTCAACTCTTCTTCTAATTCTCCCACCACCAACCTAAATAAGACTTCTTCATCTTTTACCTGATACCAGTTTAGTTATCCCAGAGCCCATTTTCTAGTACCACACTCCTTTGTTTAAAAGAAAAAAAACACCACAACAAAGTTCAATCTTCTCAGCTCGACATATAAAACCTACTTGGATGTGGGTTTAAACCTTCCCCTTTTACTAATTCCCCACCCTGATCCTTCACATCTGCTGTTCCAGGACCCTAACCTTGGGCTTTGTTGGACAGTGAGGTATAATAAGAGCATAGGCTTTGGAGCCAGACCAGCCTGGGTTCGAGTCCCAGTTCTGCCATTTACTAGCTGTGGGACTGGCATAAAGCGTCATGTCTTTAAGTCTCAGTTTCCTGATTTATAAGATAGTGGCAATAATTTCTGTGTGGACAGGGAGTTGGAGGAATTAGGTGAAAGTAGCATTTGTAAAATGTAAATTGTAGTGGCATTAGTTGTTCTAATTATCCATGCCTTGAGCTTATATTTGTTTACTGTGTCTACACAACCTTCGCTAACTGAAATACTTCAAACCCTCCCCCCTTCAAGATTCAGCTCAGAAGCAGTCTCCTCCATGAAATCTATACTGACACCCATCTGAGAGTTGAGTAGTGATTCAGACCATGAGCTGTGGAGTCAGGCAGTCCTGAAGTCAATCCCCTCATATCCAGCCACTTACTAGTTATAAGACCAAGGCAAGTCCTTCATCTTTTGAGCCTCTGTTTCCTTGTCTATAGAATGAGGATAATGAAAGTACAGTTATGTGTCACTTAATGATGAGGCTGTGTTCTGAGAAATGCGTCATTAGACGATTTTGTCTTTGTGCGAGCATCACAGAGCGTATTTACACAAGCTTAGACAGTATAGCCTACTAGAACCTAGGCTGTATGGTATAGTCTATTGCTCCTAGGCTACAAACCTGTACAACATGTTACTGTAGGCAATTATAACACAATGGTAAGTATTCGTGTATCTAAACATAGAAAATGTTCAGTAGGCTGAGACCAGTGGCTCACACCTGTAATTCCAGCACTTTGGGAGGTTAAGGTGGGCAGATTGTTTGAACTCAGGAAGCATGACAAGACCTCGTCTCTACAAAAAAAAAAATCAAAAATTACCCAGGCATGGCGGTATGCGCCGGTAGTCCCAGCTACTTAGGAGACTGAGGCAGAAGGATTGCCCGAGCCCAGGAGGTTGAGGGTACCATGAGTCATGATCGTCGTGATCATGATACTGCACTCCAGCCTGGGAGAAAGAGTGAGACTCTGACTCAAAGAAAAAAAAAGAAAGAAGGAAAGGAAGGAAGAAAGGGAGGGAAGGAGGAAAGGAGGGGATAAGGAAAGGAAAGAAGAGTAAAGGTGCAGTAAAAATACAGTATAAAAAATAGAAATAGTTCACCCGTGTAGGGCACTTACCATGAATGGAGCTTGAAGACTGGAAGTTGCTTTGGCCGAGTCAGTGAGTGATGGTGAGTGATTGTGAAGGTATAGGATATCACTGTACACAACTGTAGACCATAAACACTGGTCGCTTAGGCTAGACCAAATTTGTATAAAAATACTTTTCTTTCTTCAACACTAAATTAATCTTAGCTTACTATAACTTTCCCACTTTACAAACTTTATTTTTTTAACTTTTTGACTCTTTTGTATTAAGACAGCTTAAAAACACCATTGTACAAAAATACTGTATTTCTTTATATCCTTATTCTACAGTCTTTTCTTCTGTTTGCTGTATGTATTTTTTTTAACTGTTTAAATTTTTTTGTCAAAAGCTAAGACACAAACACACATATTAACCTAGGCCTACACAGGGTCTGGATCATCAATATCAGCTTCTTCCACTTCCATATTTTGTTCCACTGGAAGGTCTTCAGGGACATTAACAGGCATGGCATGAAGCTGTCATCTCCAATGATAACAATGCTTTCTTCTGGACTACCTCTTGAAGGGTCTGTCTGAGGCTGTTTTACTATATATATATGTGTGTATATCTAGTAAAACAGCCTCATACATACATAAAACAATGATTACAAAGTATAGTATTTACTAGGCAATTGGAATTTTTGAACAGGAGTTTTTCAGCTTCATTCTAGTTTTACAGGGCCACCATCGTACATGCGGTCCATTGTTGACCAAAGCATTAATATGTGGTGCATGACTATACCTATTTCATTTGATTATTGTAATCATTATATGACCAATGCTGGACACTTAATAAGTAAACCCTTAGGAAACGGTAGCTTATATTTTTAATGTCTGCTATTAATATTACTACAACCATTATGATTTCTTCTCTTCCAGTGCATAATATGTTTTCAATATCCAGATCCTTATTATTGTATGCCTTCTTCATGTTGGACACTGCTCTGTCCAAGGCCTGGAACATGGCATTAGGCATTAATCTTGCTCAACAAAGATCTGTTTGAATTTAGCTGAATTAGAACATCCTGCAAGCCCCCATCACATTCTCTGAGACTCCGTTTCCTCATCTGAAAGAAATCAAAGTGCTCTGAGATATCATTAGAGAAATATTTCACAACTTTAGCTTTGGGTAAATTAATTGAGGTGAGAAGTTCTCCGATCATAAGTGACTTCAACTCCTAGATCCTGTCTTTCAAAATGCAGCCATTAATGTTGGTAGCTAATATTTACTGAACAGTGTGTTCCAAGCATTAGTATGAAAATGCTTTTCATGTAGTGCCCCATAAGATGTTCACAAGCTTTAGAGACAGGTCATACTATTGCCGTTTTATAAATAAGGACTTTAAAGATCAGAGAAGTGCTATAACTTACCCAAAGTCACACAGCTATTCAAGGACAGAGCCAGGACTCAACCTGTAGCTCCCTGACACCAAGTCCAGATCTTTTTCTCTTCCACTGTGCTGTGTAGGGCATCAGGAAGCAGGAAGGGATAGAGCCCTTGGGAGGACTTCCACCATCCGAGTAATAGTCTTTGACCGGCACCGAATGTCTGCCTTTTGTCTCTGGCCTTTGTTCCCCTAGGTTCTGAAGCTGCTGCTTGTGGCCTGGGATCGCCGCCTCATCTTTGCCATTGGTACCTCCAGCACCACAGGGGAGTCAGACACTGTCATCTGGAATGAGGTCCACCACAAGACAGAATTTGGCTCTAATCTCACTGGCCATGGCTACCCAGATGCCAATTACCTGGATAACGTGCTGGCCGAACTGGCCGCCCAGGGCATCTCTGAGGACAGCACTGCCCAGGCAAAGGACTGAGGCTGGAGGGGCTTTGAGGTGGGAGGGCCCGTGCGGGCCACAGGACAGGAAGTGGGGAGAGTCAAGGTAGAAACTGGTGCTGTGCCCTCCAGACTCCCTCTTCTCCCATCCTGTCCTGTCTCTGCCAGCCGTCCCTCCCAGCCACAGGGGGACAGATTGAATAAAGCGGCGTCATTCATAAACCTCATCCGACACAAAGGGGACACGGGATGAGGGTCATCCTGGATCTGTTCCCATGGAGTTTTCGGTGCTGGGTAGGCAAGAAGCCCCTCCCCCTCCCCACCTCCCAAGTAGGGGGCATGGTCAGCACACTTAGGGTATGGGCCGTGCCTGGGCGCTACATACCTTGGCCTTGTGAAGCCCGAGGTTCCTTTGCCTCAGCTGGCTTCTTGCTGCTTCCACTCTGCTTTGAGAGCGGAGTTTCCGCTCTTTTCTCCTCCGCTGGAGGCAGAGAGCTCTCACTGTGCAAGGTTGGGGGGCAAAGGGGTGAACCGCGAAACTGCTGTGACATCAGAATTTGGATGCCTTGGTGTGGAGCGAGGAAGCACTTCTTGCCAAGAGGGTCAGAGAGGCAAAAGCCTTGGGAGCACCTTCAGCTCTCATCAAAGTCCTTGGCTTCTCTGGGCCCTCCCCTCGTCCTCACACCTTTGATCTGTCCAAAGAGGCATCTGGTTCTCTCGTGTGGATGGATGGACTCTGGTTCCTCTCCGGGTGGCATTCCGTGATGCCATTTCTAGCCCCTCTCTGATCAAACCAGAGCCTGCATCCCACCGAGCATATGAACAGTTCTCAGGGAGAGGAGCCCATAGCCTTCTTCCCAACTCATCCTAGACCAGCTCAAAGATTCCATGAGTTTCATCAAGTCACTGTGAGTAGAGCCCATACTGGGCTCTGTGCCATCTGTGTATGTGCATATGTGTGCATGTGGGCGTGTGTGCATCGCTGAACCAGCTTGGTGGGGAGCCCCATCATGTCCCTGCACTCTGTTTCAAGATGCCAAACCTCAGCTCTGATGGGGATCAAACAGCCAGGCTGTGGTCCCTTGGCGTTCTTCACCCTTTGCCAACCCATCCCATAGTAAACTTAGACCCTGATGGAGACAGAACTGGGCTTGTGGGGGAGATGTGATGAGGTGATTCCTGGACGGACCACCCCCTTTTGATTTTGTTTTCAAGATCGGAACAGAGCCGATATTCGTCCAGTCTTGTTTCTACAAGGGCTTCAGTCTGCCTCCATGCAAACTTGCTAATCAGAGCCTAGGTGCTGGGCCCCTCAACTCCCTCATCTATTATAGATAGACTCAGAGCATAGAGGGAGTCACTTGAACTCATCCCTAACAGGGTTGGGACCACAGTTTGGTCTGGATCAACCTATGCCTGGGTTTTGTCCTAAGACCCTGTCAATCTCCTCCCCAACATTCTTCTTGCCTTTGACTCTCATAAAGGGATGGATTGGGGGTCAGGGAGGAAAGAAAGGGGAATCAAGAAGGGAAACCCAATTCCCCCTTTGAAAGTGGGTTCTTTGAACTATGTGTTCGGGGGAAGTTCCTCTGGATACACATTTGAATTTATATACCTCATGTTTTGGGGGTTTGACGTATATATATGCATATATATTTCATAATATTTGGAGGGTTTTTGATGCTAGAAAAATGGAAACAAAAGAACCTTCAAAAATGGTACTTAGGTTAGGACTAGGGGCCAAGCTTTCATGAGAGCCAGCTCCGAAGCTGCTTGCTTTCAGGCCTACAGCCATTCTGACATTGGTGTGGCCAGTGAGTTCACCTGCATGTCACCCAGTTCCTCAGACGTGCTGGTGCTGAACCTTTCCTTGCTTTCCAGATGGGTAGAGGGAGGCTGATCAGCTCCACCAAAAGGAGCTCTGATAGGAGGAATTGTTCTGCCATCCTCGTCCCAGTCTCTCCTGTCAGCCTGCAGCCAGGAGACCAGGAGACCAGGAGACTGGTCTCGAGCTCACTGCACCACGGGACAGTTTCCTGCTACAGTCAGATGGAAACCCCTGAGCTAAATGGAAGAGACATCCCTGTGGTGTTTAATGCCATGCCCAGGCCCTTTGCCAGGTTACCATGTACCAGAGATCAATGGAGAGCCTCGTAGGCTTAGTAACATCTCCACCTTCAGCACCCTGGTCAAGTATCTGCCGGGTTTCTTGGCCACAGAGATGAGGAAATAGACTGAGAGTCCATGGGTAAAAGACATAGTTAAGGTAGTAGGAGGTGGGAAAGAAAAGGCACGCTTTGGTGATGGAATAGGGTAGTGGGGAGAGACCGATTTCCCCACATCAGACAGCGGAAGGGGGCAGCCAAGAGGATATACCAGGGAGTCGGTATACCAATGGCAATACCACTTGGAGGGGTAGTCTTACCTTCAAGCCTTTCCTCCTAGGATTTTAATTGCGTCTGTGCCCTGTTTTTCCTCTCTGAGGACGCTCAGTAGGGGCTACCTCATCTCGTGCTGTTCTTCTTGTGGGACTTTCTGGGCAGAAGGGATCTTGAATTTCTAACGCTGTGCCAGGCAAGGCAGCGGGCAGTCCTTTGCCCTTTCTCTCGTGCCAACCTGGAAAGGTACAGTCAGTTTGAGCCAGAACGCTGCCAGCAGAGCCCTGCGCATCCGCCCCTTTGACAGGGTATTTTCCCGAAATACCCTGCTCTGTTCCCCTGGTCCAAGTAGGGGATCCCATGCCTTTTCTTTCACGGTCTTAGCACCAGCAGCCTAATTTTTCCCTTCCTGAGTCCCCAGGGATGACCGATGAGATTGCAGACAAACTTTGTCAGATGCTCATCCCTTGAAAGGTTACTTGTGTCTCTGTGGTTTCATGTGCTTTTGTGTTTTCATTCTCTTCCTCTTTTTGTAAAATTCTCTGTGGTTTTATACTTGGGTCAGAAGTATTTGTCCTGGTATTGCACTGTTGTGTGCATGAGAAGATTGGGGGAAGGCCCATATGGTAGAAGAAAGGACCCCTGCCCCCTTTCCTTATTCTGTGGTCGCTGGCATTGGGGGGGGGGCGCTTCTGGGAGAGGGCAGGTGAAATGTCCCAACATAAATCGTTCTGTTTGTAACTGGTGTGTTTTGAAGTCCTTGGTGTTGCTCTGTGAGAGGACATCGCCACCTGGTGCTCATGAGGTGTATGTGCAGAACAATAAATGGCAATGAACAACCACAAATTGTTGCTGTCGTTGACTTTCAGCTTTGAGTAGATGGGTGCACCTATCTGTGAGGCACCTGGGTTACCTCCCCCAGTCTGTAAGCAACCACAAGCTCTCCCACAGGATCGGGTGAAAGAGCCTCTGCTTTATGTTTTGTTTCCACATCTTTCCCACCCACACATTTCATACATTTGACCTGGCAGGACTCTGTTCCCCTAAAGGAACAGATCACTTAGCTGAGGAAATGAATAAGTGAACTTGTGGGAGAAAAACCATCTTTAAAATCACCAATGTTCACTACTTAAAGATCTCTTCGCCTGGCTACCAAATGTGTGTGTTTCAATCCCTTCAAGGTGTTGTTTTTCAAATAAATATTTGGTATTAATCATCCTAATATGAGAACACAAACATAAAACGCAAATGCAGAGTCATCTCTGTCACCCAAATCGGTCTCTATCTCTGATAGTCTAAGGTGTGGGTTTCTTGGAAGCCAGGGCTGGTTTTTCCACAGACCCCTGCCTAAGATCGCCCGTTTAGGAAACCGAGACTCAGAAGGCAGAGTCTGTGAGCTCCTCCATCAGGGTTCTGACTCTGTAAAATGACTTGATGAATGCAACCTGCAAACTCCCACTTTCTGATTTCATATGGATGAGCAGTCAGAAAGAGTGTTCCTTAATACTTATTTTAATGCATATTTATGTGCAGTCCTGTTCATAGAAATATAAATTTGTAAAGAACTTTTCATTCCAGTGGGCAGTTAGTACATTAAATGCCTGGGAACCTTTGGCTATATTTTGCCTTTCTGACTCAACACTCTTCCAATAATTTATAGAAAAATTAATATTTGCAGACAAGTGATTAGCTTGGCTGAAATGTACTTAATACCCAGATCCCACAAAACACTCAGAGGTTTAGGAGAACATTTTATTTTTTAAAAAAACTTTATTATGAAATATACATAGAAGTTAATAAAATGAAAAGGTACTGTTTACAGACATGTCCAAAGTGAACATCCAGTGTTCAAGAAATGGAACACCACAGTGTACCCTAGACTCTTACCTTGTCTCCCTTGCCATCACCATTTCTCCCACCACTCCACTTCCTGAGATCACCATTGTAGGAGAACATTTTGATGCTTAAGAGACAGGGTTAAGGGGAGAAGTTGTAGAAATCAGTGTCCCTGACTGGGCAGTCTGCAGAGCAGACTTTAAATTCTGTTAATCACTTCTCTGTGTCTCAGTTGGAAATGAATGAATGTCCTCCCTGCCATCTTCCCACAGGCTGGGATGCCTCAAGCTCCCTACATGAAGGGCTTATTCACAGTCCAAAATTTTGATTATGAACATTCACAAGAAGAGAACAAATTATCTTTCACAGGGGATAACTTAGTAATGACATTTAATATGGCATAGAATGAAGGCAATTAAAATGAAAAGAGACTGATATTAAAATTGAGCAAAGACCCAGTATTGCCAACTGACAATCATGCATCCTGCTAGATGCCCCAGGGCAGTCAGACTGGGGCGGAAATAAATGTGTCACACAAGTGGTGCAGGAAAACTTTTTTAGTTAATTTAAAAGATGGATGATGTCAGTTCCCTTTCTGCTGAAAAGAAAAAAAAAAGGTAAGGTGCATAATTCTACTCTGTTTTAGTTTTAGAGAGGAAGTAATACTTAGATTTGGGCTTACTTTGACTTCTTGCTTTTTTCACCTCGAAATAACGCAGACTTCTTTTTGGAATGTGATGTGGATATGACTGTGGTGTGCATGTAACAGGAAGACAACAGGAAGGTGAGGACCATCCATGGATGAGGGAGGAATTGTACTTTGGTAACATAGAATATAAAACTGCAATGCTTAATCTATCCAAATCTAGTTCTTTTCAGTGCCCCATTTATAATGAGCTAAGGAGGAAGAAATAAGTCATTGGTTGTGGGTAAAAATCCCAATTTCCCCTGAGCACTAGAATCTTTTCCAGTTTTTACCTTTTTTTTCCTTACTCTTTGTCTCCAAATCATTCCTTCCTCTTTGACCTCCTAATAGAAGTCTGTAAGGTAAAATATTTTCTGAGGACTTGATGACACCACCCAGAAGCCTAAGAGTGGTCTGTCTGGTCTTAGTAAGTCTTCATTGTGGGGCAGCTGGAAAAAGTGGAATTTTTTTTTTACGATGCTGCTGAGATGACCCGAGGAGATGACATAGTTCATTAATATGGAGTCCTCAAAGCTAAAAGTGGTGGCCAAGTAGGACTTGTCTTGTCAGGGCTCTGCCAGCTTCTAGGAGCATGAAATCCAGCCAATTAAAAAAAATATAGAGGGTCGGGCTTGGTGGCTCAGCCTGTAATCTCAGCACTTTGGGAGGTCAAGGTAAGTGAATTGCCTGAGCCCGCGGATTCAAGACTCACCCTGGAAACTTGGCGAGACCTCGGCTCTACAATAAATAATAAAAAAATTAGCCAAGTGTGGCAGTGTGCACCTGTATTTCTGGCTACCTGGAAAGCTGCGGTGGAAGGATCACCGGAGCCCAGCAGATCAAGGCTGCAGTGGCCAGGAGTATGCCACTGAATTCCAGCCTGGGCAGTGGAGTGAGACTCCAACTCAAAAAAAAAAAAATAGAGAAAGAGTAATGCTTAAAGGCAGAGATTCTTGCAACTCTCTAATCAGAAGCCATTGCAGACTCGAGGTTAAATGCATAGCTTCCGAATCCAAATGTTAACTTTCTCCCTGCTCTCTTTTTACCCAAGTGCATTCAGGTAAAGACAATTAGTGACACACATAGAGAACGGACACTCCTTTCTTATTTTTGCCCCCAGGATGTCTTCATTTTGTCCCCAGGATGTCTTCAAGAGCCACAACTGCTCCCTCTCCCCATCCCCAACCTTGTCCATGTAGCCGTATGAATTTCCTGGCCCCAGAGACCCAAATAAGAAGTTGCAAAGTTATACCTGCATTTTATTGCATCTGCCACTTCAACACGCAGGCAGGCAGAAGTGATCAGAGATGACTACTCTGGGTGGAGACGAGAGAAAACATTTCCAGGGAGAGAATTAAGCCAGACTCTGCTCCTGCTCTTGGTCAGGGGTGTCTCCAGCCATTGCAGTATCTGGAACCAAACTCTGCCTCCTGTCAATTGCCTGGTATCCCCTCTTCTTGAACTTGCGGGTGCCGTAGATGGCCACGAGGATGACAGCGGCTAGAACAGTGGTGACCCCCACTGAGACCCCAGCTGCTGCCCCTCCTGAGAGACCACCACCATCGCTGTGGATGACCTTCATGGTTCTGCGCAGCTCCAACGGTTCTCCCAGCCTCCACTGGTGGGTCTGAGAGTCTTTAATCCAGGAGCTCTCACTCTCAGAATTGGTCACTACGACAGTGTTGGTGGCAGCCTGACTCATGAGGGGTGGCTGCGTGTAAGGTGGGAGCCTGGCAGGGGGCAGGGACCCTCCTGTAAAGATCCCGGCCTTGACGCAGTAGGACACTTGGCATCCATCGCTGATGAGAGCTAGGTGTTGGCTGAAGCCCCCGGGGCACTTTTTCAGAGCAGGGGCCCCTAAATCTCTGGATATGGCAGGGTTCACCAAGGGGTTCCCAACTGTGCAGCTGAAGAAGCCACCAAAGGGGACTGAAAACCTGTTTCCCAATTCATAGTCCTGAGAAACACATACCTTGAGGTTTTCGAAGAGTCTCAGTGGAAGGTAGCTAGTTGGGCACGACTGTGCATTTGTCACGGGGTTGATGCTCTTACTGCTGAAGAGGCCTCCAAAAAGCAGTCCTGAGCTTTCAGGGACTTGACCACTGGCCACGCACCAAAAAGCTCTAAATTCAGCCTTTGCCACCCGGAACACGTCTTCGCACACGGTCTTGCAGAAGATCCGGAGGGTGCACTTCCGTCGACACTCCAGGTCGTTGTAACCCTCCTCGTGGATCTGGGATTGCAGGTGCACTGAGGAGTAACCAGGAGGGCAAGAGAAGTCGCCAGTGAGTGGATTCTTCTGCTCCAAGTTTTGGCAGAGGAGGACATATTTATCCCCTGAGAATTGGGTGCATTTCTGATAAATCCCACCCAGGGAGTAGTTGGTAAATTTCCCCTCGCAGGAACCATCATCAGTATTGGCTTGAAAATTGAAGAAGGGCGAACTGATATCCATGCAGCCAGGATAGGTGTTGAATGTGTAATAGCGTCTCACAGCAGCTTCCACTGTCTTCGACAACTTCTCCACCAGGGGCCCTGGCAAGTTAGGCAGCATGTTGGAGTTGATGAAGAAATGCAATGGCAGGCCAGAGCGGTCTATAGCCACCAGGTGGTTGGTGATTCCCTGCTGCCAGGTCTGGAGGGTGATACCTGGGTAGAAAGGAGCCCCTCCAATGCTTCGCACCCTGGAGTTGGTGCGGTTTGAGAGGTAGCTCTTGGTGACGGAATCCTGTGAATTGTAGCTATCCTCAAATTTGAAGTTCACAATGTTTTGGAAGGCAGCTCCAGCAGATGCAGTCAAGGCATAGTGGCTGCCCTGGCTATCCTGGAGGAAGGAGGCTCTAATGTGGTCCTCCTGAACCAGAGCAGCCCCGGCATCCACACTGGTAATGACGTGGGTGCCATAGTTCAGGACCAGGAGTTCTGCCAAGTAGGTGGCCATCCTCGTCTGGTTGTTCTCTAGATGGTCAGAGATTTCCAGGAGCCCCTTCCTAAACCCCCAGCTCAGCTGTAAAGCTGGACTGATTTTGACTGTGTAGACCAGGTTTCTTACCTGAACCCGGGTAGTTACCGATTGGTCCCTCACTTGAAGGGTCTTTATCCTCTGGAATTCGGCAGAGAACTTGCCATTGACTTTAGAGTAAAGGGAGAGCTCCATGTTGATGGAGTTGGAGGTGCTGCTCTGGTAATTTTTCCAGGATTCTAGGATTTCTGAGTTCATCTCCAGGTTGCTTTGTTTCTGGGGAATAGTGAAGATTTCATCGGGGATGATGTACTGTCCATCTTCTGTGGTCATGCAGTTGGTGTAAGTCAAGTCCATCACCCGCCCCATGTCCACATTCCGCAGATTATCCCAGCCTCCTCCAGGTAGGACTTCGAGGACAGGTAGTTTAAAGGCATCCTTGCATTTTTGAAATGCAGCCTCATCTGTATCTCTTGGAAACTTGCCCGTTTTAGCCAATGCTACCAGTGCCCAGAAGAGGACAGCAGCCCTGAAGCTGTTCATGGTTCCGACAGCCTAAGCCACACACCAGTCCTTTGCAGTAGCCAGCGAGCTGGGGCAAACTGAACAAATAGAAATAAAAAAAGCAGTTGCTGAAACAGAAAATTAACAGTTCTCCAAAAGCCACCAGTTCCTCCTTAGGCTAAGGTAATTGCAAAATGGGGAAATGAGAGTTGACAGGAAAACTAAAGTCCATTAGGACTTTAAAAAAATTATGCAACACTAGATATGCAAACACAGCCCTAAATGCTTAGTAGTTAATTACCTTGACTTTCCTCCACCCCCTCCCCGCCCCAGCTGATTACTCTACAGCAGTGGTGGGCACTCAGAAGTGCCCTTACTGCTTCCTCCACCAGAAAGTTAGGGTTTGCATTTTGTTCACTCCTTTAAATTTTCACCAGCTGCTCTTTCCTGGGTCTCTAATGATAGTTTCCGTTTACTGGAAATGCCAAGACTAATGACATGATCATCCTTTCTGAGACACCCTGTCTCCTCCATACCTTGACTAGCTGTAGGTCAAGTCCAAAGCCCAGCTTTCTCATTCGAGGGTGGAGGGTGTTCCCATAGAAAGAAGGAATAGAAATCTCAGATATGCCGGGCTCGGTGGCTCAGCCTGTAATCCCATGCCTTTGGGCGGCTGAGGTGAGTGGATTGCCTGAGCCCGCGGGTTCGAGACCCGCCTGGGCAGGCGAGACCTCATCTCTACAATAAATCAAAAAATCAGCCGGGCGTGGTAGCGCGTGCCTATAATTCTGGCTACTCGGAAGGCTGAGGCAGAAGGATCGCCTGAGCCCAGCAGGTCGAGGCTGCGGTGGCCGGGAGCGGCCACTGCACTCCAATCTGGGCGACAGAGTGAGACTCCAACTCAAAAAAAAAAAAAGAAATCTCGGATACGAATACGCATCCAATGAGGGTTTCGTTGTTATAAGCTCTAACGGTGCTGTCTTTGGAGATGGCATTCACTGGAGCAGAGCTGAAGAAGCTGTAAACCTCCTTTTCTAAAAGCTGAGAAACCTCAGTCCTCAATGTCCTAAGCATTCAGAGTGAGGTCGAGGGGTCCCCACAAGGACTGTTGTTTCTTTTCAGACAGAAACGTTCAAGCAAAGATAAAATCCACACTATTATCTAGATTTTGACTTATCCAAAGCAGACAGTGCCCAAGGAACATGTATATGTGTTTACACTTTTTTTTTTTTTTAGTTGGAGTCTTACTCTGTTGCCCAGGTTGGAGTGCAATGGCACACCCACAGCCACCTCAGCCTCGACCTCCTAGGCTCAGGCGATCCTTCCACCTCAGCCTTCCAAGTAGTTGGAACTACAGGCGTGCACTACCAGGCTTGGCTAATTTTTTGATTTATTGTAGAGATGAGGTCTTGCCCAGTTGCCCAGGTTGGACTTGAACCCCTGAGCTCAGACAATTCCCTCAGCTCAACCTCCCAAAGTATTGGGATTACAGGCTTGAGCCACCGCACTTGGCCTGTGTGTACACATTTATATGTCCTGTGTGTGCATTTTTGCAATGAGTTAGCACCTGTTGTTATATGTTTAATTTTTCATTCCACTGCTAAGTGCATGTAATCAATATAGGGTACATAAAAAAAAAAGAATGTGGTTCTTCATTACTCAATTTTTTTTCCCTAAAAGCAACAATTCGGCCAGGCTCAGTGGCTCAACCTGTAATCCCAGCATTTTGGGAGGCCGAGGTGAGTGGATTGCCTGAGCCCGCGTGTTCGAGACCAGCCCAGGCAACATGCTGAGACCTCCTCTCTACAATAAATCAAAAATTATCCGGGCGTGGCAGAGCGTGCCTGTAGTTCTGGCTACTTCAAAGGCTGAAGTAGAAGTATCGCCGGAGCCCAGCAGGTCAAGGCTGCTGTGGCCATGAGCATGCCACTGCTCTCCAGTCTGGGTGATAGAGTGAGACTCCAACTCAAAAACAACAACAACAACAATTCACTTGTTTTATCATTAGAACAACAGCATTTCACGAATTTATTTCTGTGGGCTGATGCCAGCACCAATAGTCCCTATCATTTAGAACAGCATTTCCAGGCTCATTGATCTGGTAACAGGATTGATTGGAGCCCAACTCTGTTCATTCTTTTGGACAATGAGGCTGTGTCTTGGTACATTTAGTGATAGCCAGGGAATCCAGAGGAGCTTAACAAAGCTCCCAATTGCACTCTCATGACTCCCAAAATCATTCCATGAACCAGGTGCAGTGCTGAGATGGAAAAAGTCATGTTGCACTCCGCAGGCATCACGTGCATACGTCCTGGAAAGGTTCCAAGGAACTGAATTGCCTCTGATGGTCACTAATAGAGTTGAGAAGTGTTTTCAGAAAGAATGAGGTCAGTTGCTTCACTTCCCAGGCTGAGCTTCACTAGTTATTATTAAAACCTTGATATTTCTGTTAATCCAGAAATATCACATTCTGGGTCTATTCATGCCACAGTTATCATGCTTTGGGGAACTGACACGTAACACCTAAGCGGGATTAATTTATGAACCAATGCCCAGTTAAATTTGGCTAGGGAACCAAACCTTTGCACAGGATATTCTGGTTAATATATAAGTCAGTTAGTGATACGTTTATACCTCAGCAGAGTGATCACAGAATTAGAAAAATTAGAGTCAAATGCCCTTGAGTACTTCCAATAAGTCTGCTGAAATATCTTCAGACTATTTCAAGAATGGTTATAAGATTAGAATAGTCTCTCACTTAGACTGTTTTGAAAACATGCTGACAATTTATTACTCTCTGCTTTCCCTTTACAAGATCCTGTTGAGTCCTCACTCTCCTAAAATGAGAATACAAGCAAGGTTAATATATGACTCTATGCTCAGGTGTTTTTATATCTTTAAACACCTAGTCCTCATCTTTTTTCCTACTACATTCTTTTTTTTTTTTTTTTTTTGAGTTGGAGTCTCACTCTGTCGCCCAGGCTGCAGTGCAGTGGCCGCTCCCAGCCACCGCAGCCTCGACCTGCTGGGCTCCAGCGATCCTTCCACCTCAGCCTTCCAAGTAGCCGGAACTACAGGCGCGCGCTACCACGCCCAGCTAATTTTTTTGATTTATTGTAGAGATGAGGTCTCGCCAAGTTGCCCAGGCGGGTCTCAAACCCGCAGGCTCAGGCAATCCACTCACCTCAGCCTCCCAAAGGCGTAGGATTACAGGCTGAGCCAATGAGCCCAGCCCTACTACATACACTCTTATAGAAAAGAATTGAAAATAGCTAAAAGAGCCAACAAGTGTAAAATTGTATTGTATCCATATGACAAAATATTTTCCAGCTATTGCAATTATCCAAATTTTCATATAACATGAGAAATTATTTTGCTATAATGTTGTGAAAAAAACTTGATACACATTCAGCATGACCCTAACTAGGTATAGTTAGATTAGATAGATATAGATATAGATATACAACCACCCGTGGGCAGTAATTATATCTGATTGGTAGGTTTTTCTTCAATATTTTAATTTTTCCGTTTACTTTTCTATGTTTTTTGAGTTTTCAATAATGAGTATGACTTTATTCATTTGAGAAATTTTTGCTGAGAGCCTACTAAGTACCAAACAATGATGGGTACTAGGTAATCATCACCTTTAGTACTCAAGAAAATCACTGTGTATAACACAAGCAAATTATTTCTAGAAGTTTCTTATGCTTAAAATGATCCAAAGCCTACGGACTCCGTGATTGCTGTGCTCAAGAAAGTTCTCTTTTCAATTTACCTGAAAACAGCAAATAGAAAAGTGTAAATAATGGAAATTTTGGCTTCACTTAAATTTGCATGCCTGCAGAAGGAAGAGCTACTCATAATAGTCACGTGTGAGGAAATGGTGACAAGCGTTGGACCAGTGCATTTCACTCACACCTTTCCTGTTTTACTCTGTTTGTCGGAAATTTCTCTGACTTTCTCTTGTTCTGAAATCACATGCAATGGCATAGCCTTTCCAGGTGGCCACACTTGAGGAGTCAGGGCCTGTGGGTAAAACTGAACTTTGGTCTCTAAAAGGAGGAGGCAACTCATCCACAAAATTATGCATCTGCATTTCAGAAACACGATCTCACTTCCTCCAAAAAGAGGCAAGAGGGAAGTCCCATGCCTGTTTTCTTTCTCAGTTTGAGCACATGCAACCTTCTAAAATCATTTCAGGCAAAGCCAAACTATGATTCATGCCTGAGGTTCAGTTCTGTGTGGGCTTGGAACCAGTCCAGGTGTTTCCTGCTTCTGCATCTCACCTGTGGTCTAACATGGGGAGGAAAGTCTAGTTGCATTTGCTAAAATGATTCCCTTTCTGATTTTCGGTTGGAATCTAGCAGACCATCTGAAACCTGAGAGTCAAATATTCCTTAAATGGATCAGAGAACGATGACTTTTACAGACTCTGGAATAAATTTTGTTCTGGAAAATCTGGAAGTTAGCAGTGAACAAGTGACCACATTTTGTTTTCTGAACAGTTGTTTTAAAAGTTACCTTGTCAACTTCCTCCTCTCAGAGGCTTTTCTTCCCACCAGGATTGCTTGGGTATGGACCACAAAAATGAGAACACAGTAGTTTTGTTACAGACTGAGTAACACTCGGCTACTAACCCTCAACACCAATAAATCAAGAGGCAGAAAACTGGTAGAAAGAAGTTCATTTCTGAATTTGAATCCAGGGAGCAGAGCCGGGCTCCTGGCCTTTCTAAAATAGTTCTGCTCCCCCTTCAGATTTTACAGTCTGTTTTTATAAGTTCAGGGTTGTTGATACCTATACGTTGACTACATGACTAGCAGAACATAGTATAGAACTTAAGTTACAGTCGCATTTTGTCAATAATGACATTTACGGTCTGTATTTCCTAGCATCAGTTACCAGAAGTATCTCATAACATTTTTTCAGTAATACCAGGCAGAGGTGTCAATCAAGCTTGCCATAGAGTAAAGGGAGTTAACAAGGCCTAAAAAGAAGAAAGTTCATGCCATGCTTGCCTGTGAGCATTGGCCCTTTCTGTCTGTGGAAAGTGGATAATAAATTTTGTTTCTTTCTTTTTGAAAATCTTTGCTT